TTTTCAGCAGAAATCAAGCCGTTTGCAACACAATTCATGCCGTTGGGAGCCGCAATTTTGGACCAATTCTCTCACTGTAGGGCTGTAGGTTTGAAAAAAAAACGGTAACATGATCAATTTTCCTTCCTCCTTACAGCGCGCCCAGACACGTCCTTAATTAACCAAAAAACCACATCTTTATTAATAACAAATTAATTATTTTACAAAAATATTAAATATAAACTAAGCAAACGTGCATTGCACGTTGCTTGTACCTAGTATGTATGTGTATATATATATATATAGGAGTTACTTACCTTTGAAGAAAAAGGGTTGCTTTTAAAGAAAGACCTCCAAATGTTCCAAGAAGAACCACTTGTTAGATTCCAGTATATTCCTTGAAAAAAGGAATATCATTCACACCGTAAAAAATCCAAGTTGCTATTAGAGAGAACGTTACCATGACTTACGGCAATGAAGAGTTGGCGCTTCAGAGAGCTATGGAACACCCTGAAGAAGAGGAACCCTCACATGCTACTCCAACAACTCGCCAATGATTTTATCAGCAACACTAGCGATGTGGATTAAGATGTGGGTCCATAATAGCTATTAGACTCACCAGGGAGGTGGCCACCATGGCAAAAAATATGAGAGATATTACCCAGCAAAATATTACCATGCACGAACTACTAAGGAATACACAGAACTAGGGAAGATACCCAATCTCCCTATATGCAGCCCAAGGAAATGCTTTCTTTCACGACCCTCCGCAAGGGAATTACTATCATGGCGAAAAGGAGGTTGAAAGACAAATGGCTGATTATCAACATTATACCAGGGAAGATGCCCTTCAAAGAGGGAAGTTAAGATTGATATATCCATCAACTATGACACTGACCGACCTAATGAGGTTCCATTCAACTTTCCTCCAAATTATGAACCCGAAGACATGCCTTAGAGATCCATAAGTATCTTCGCAAGTTAAGCCCTAGAGGCATAGAAATAGGCAAGCTCAACCTTATTTTACACCTAGAAATAGGCTGTATGGACCACCTTAGATAGAAAGACAAAATGAACCTATTTATAACAACCTGCCTCAGAATCCTTCACCTAGAAATAGGCGTCAGAGGAGGGAAGAACAGGCCAAGAATGAAAATGGACCATCTTTACCACCTCGGGGACATCAAGTCAGAGAAGATGGGGACTTTGACAAACCACAAAGGTCTTGTGATGTCGACGACGATGATGACAATTTTCCATTCTCACAGGGAAATAGGGATGCTCCTATCCGAAGTCACTTCGTGCTTCCTAAAATTCTCAAGTATGATGGAAGAGTAATCCTGCGCGACATCTCAACAACTTCAAAACATAAGCCTAAGGGGTTCAACTCTCACTGTGAAATATAGAGTCTTCCACTTAACCCTAAGTGGGGCAGCTGAAGTGTGGTACACTAGGCTTCCAAAAGGTAGTATCAGAAGTTGGCCAGATTTCAAGAAAGACTTTCTTAAGCGCTTCGCAACAAGCAAGGAAAGCGAAGGGTCAATATAGCGCCTCCAAGACATGAGGCAACATCATGGAGTCATTGAAAAAATTTTTATCTCGTCTTACTGATGAAATGACCTATAGCGTGCAAGTTATCGATAGAGAAGCACTATAAGGAGAGGG